TCAGTTTTAATCTAGCGTCGTAATACAGTACATGATATATAAGTCATGAGGATGGAATAGTTACAGATCAGCTGAAATATCTATTGTAAAGGATCCTACAAATTAATGCAAGATACAGTCACAGAAATAATTATATTTATAAGTACGTCTGAACCAGTGACAACTCTGCAACAGATTTATCCATCGGATCACCAGCAGTGATGGTGATACATGGCTGTGTACATTCTGTATATACAAGTCGTCTAAACATCAGCCCAACAATGTTAGATCTGTAAATTTGCTTTCGCAAATTTTTAGTTCTTCTCTCGCCGGGATTCAAACTCATGCTACTGAGATATCGTGACACCAATATCGCCTGCACTGTATCCGACGCGATAGACCACCCGACCATCTAGGCTGCTATAATAAAGCTTTTGGTGGCCAGGTGTTACCTTTCCTCGTCACTTTTAATCTAGCGTCGTAATACAGTACATGATATATAAGGCATGAAGATGGAATAGTTACAGATCAGCTGAAATATCTATTGTAAAGGATCCTACAAATTAATGCAAGATACAGTCACAGAAATAATTATATTTATAAGTACGTCTGAACCAGTGACAACTTTACAACAGATTTATTCATCGGATCACCAGCAGTGATGGTGATACATGGCTGTGTACATTCTGTTTATATAACTCGTCTAAACATCAGCCCAACAATGTTAGATCTGTAAATTTGCTTTCGCAAATTTTTAGTTCTTCCCTCGTCGGGATTCGAACTCATGCTACTGAGATATCGTGACACCAATTCGCCTGCACTGTATCCGACGCGATAGACCACCCGACCATCTAGGCTGCTATAATAAAGCTTTCGGTGGCCAGGTGTTACCTTTCCTCGTCACTTTTAATCTAGCGTCGTAATACAGTACATGATATATAAGGCATGAAGATGGAATAGTTACAGATCAGCTGAAACATCTATTGTTAATTATCATACAAATTAATGCAAGATGCAGTCACAGAAATAATTATATTTATAAGTACGTCTGAACCAGTGACAACTCTACAACAGATTTATCGATCGCGTTATATATATATATATATATAATTCGTCTAAACATCAGCCCAACAATGTTAGATCTTCCCTGGCCGGGATTCGAACTCATGCTTCTGAGATATCGTGGCACCAAATCGCTTTGCACTATGCCTGAGGCGGTAGACCACTCGACCACCTAGGCTCTATCAATAATAAAGCTTTTGGTGGCTATATATATATATACAAGTCTAAATTGAAACGTTCTAACCTATGATTGCGTTGAATAAAAACCGCAATTTTTATACGTGTGCATGCAAAACAAAGTTCTTGTTAGAGAGGTCTAAATACAGCACAAACAACATTTTCCAAAAGACCAAAAAAGTGAAAAAGTATATTTTAACAAAACGCATTTGACTAACAGGTCGAACAACACATGTTCTTAAACCCTGCTGACTGCCATTGGCGATTGCCAAATAAACGGATCACCGATGTAATAAATGGATCTTAATTATAAATTTAATACTAAAGAGAAAACAATAAACTTGCGGAAAAGATGGTATACCGCAAACAAAAGGTGCAAAGGTTTTTGTACACCATATCCGGATTTCGACAATTAATGTCTCTTCAGTGATGTTAGGAATCGAAACAGTGTTTGGAAAGCCATACAATTTACCTCAATTTAGGACAGACTCTTGAATTTTGAGGAGTCAAAATAGGGTGAACTGATCATATAAACCCGAAGGTAAATATAATACAAGCCCAAACAAAAATATATAAACAAGTCTAAATTGAAAACAACGTTCAAACTTATGATTGCGTTGGATAAAAACCGCAATTTTTATACGTGTGCATGCAAAACAAATTTCTTGTTAGAGGGGTCTAAATACAGCACAAACAACATTTTCCAAAAGACCAAACAAGTGAAAAAAGTATATTTTAACAAAACGCATTTGACTAACAGGTCGAACAACACATGTTCTTAAACCCTGCTGACTGTCATTGGCGATTGCCAAATAGACGGATCACCGATGTAATAAATGGATCTTAATTATAAATTTAATACTAATCAGAAAACAATAAACTTGCGGAAAAGATGGTATACCGCAAACAATAGGTGCAAAGGTTTTTGTACACAATATCCGGATTTCGACAATTAATGTCTCTTCAGTGATGTTTGGAATTGAAACGGTGTTTGGAAAGCCATACAATTTACCTCAATTTAGGATAGACTCTTGAATTTTGAGGAGTCAAAATAAGATGAACGGATCATATAAACCCGAAGGCAAATATAATACAAGCCCAAACGAAAAATTATAAAAAAGTCGAAATTGGAAACAACGTTCAAACCTATGATTGCGTTGGATAAAAACCGGAATTTTTATACGTGTGCATGCAAAACAAATTTCTTGTTAGAGGGGTATAAATACAGCACTAACAACATTTTCCAAAAGACCAAAAAGTGAAAAGGTATATTTTAACAAAACGCATTTGACTAACAGGTCGAACAACACATGTTCTTAAACCCTGCTGACTGCCATTGGCGATTGCCAAATAAACGGATCACCGATGTATATGGATCTTAATTATAAATTTAATACTAAACAGAAAACACTAAACTTGCGGAAAAGATGGTATACCGCAAACAAAAGGTGCAAAGATTTTTGTACACCATATCCGGATTTTGACAATTAATGTCTCCTCAGTGATGTTAGGAATTGAAACGGTGTTTGGAAAGCCATACAATTTACATCAATTTAGGATAGACTCTTGAATTTTGAGGAGTAAAAATAGGATGAACGGATCATATAAACCCGAAGGCAAATATAATACAAGCCTAAACGAAAAAATATAAACAAGTCTAAATTGAAAACAACGTTCAAACCTATGATTGCGTTGGATAAAAACCGCAATTTTTATACGTGTACATGCAAAACAAATTTCTTGTTAGAGGGGTCTAAATACAGCACAAACAACATTTTCCAAAAGACCAAAAAAAGTGAAAAAGTATATATTAAAAAAACGCATTTGACTAACAGGTCGAACAACACATGTTCTTAAACCCTGCTGCCTGCCATTGGCGATTGCCAAATAAACGGATCACCGATGTAATAAATGGGTCTTAATTTTAAATTTAATACTAAACAGAATACAATAAACTTGCAGAAAAGATGGTATACCGCAAACAAAAGGTGCAAAGGTTTTTGTACACCATATCCGGATTTCGACAATTAATGTCTCTTCAGTGATGTTAGGAATCGAAACGGTGTTTGGAAAACCATACAATTTACCTCAATTTAGGATAGACTCTTGAAATTTGAGGAGTCAAAATAGGATGAACGGATCATATAAACCCGAAGGCAAATATAATAAAAGCCCAAACGAAAAAATATAAACAAGTCTAGATTGAAAACAACGTTCAAACCTATGATTGCGTTGGATAAAAACCGCAATTTTTATACGTGTGCATGTAAAACAAATTTCTTGTTAGAGGGGTCTAAATACAGCACAAACAACATTTTCCAAAAGACCAAAAAAAGTGAAAAAGTATATTTTAACAAAACGCGTTTGACTAACAGGTCGAACAACACATGTTCTTAAACCCTGCTGACTGCCATTGGCGATTACCAAATAAACGGATCACCGATGTAATAAATGGATCTTAATTATAAATTTAATACTAATCAGAAAACAATAAACTTGCGGAAAAGATGGTATACTGCAAACAAAAGGTGCAAAGGTTTTTGTACACAATATCCGGATTTCGACAATTAATTTCTCCTCAATGATGTTCGGAATCGAAACGGTGTTTGGAAGGCCATACAATTTACCTCAATTTAGGATAGACTCTTGAATTTTGAGGAGTCAAAATAGGATGAAAGGATCATATAAACCCGAAGGTAAATATAATACAAGCCCAAACGAAAAAATATAAAAAAGTCGAAATTGAAAACAACGTTCAAACCTATAATTGCGTTGGAAAAAAAACGCAATTTTTATACATGTGCATGCAAAACAAATTTCTTGTTAGAGGGGTCTAAATACAGCACAAACAACATTTTCCAAAAGACCAAAAAAGTGAAAAAGTATATTTTTACAAAACGCATTTGACTAACATGTCGAACAACACATGTTCTTAAACCCTGCTGACTGTCATTGGCGATTGCCAAATATATGGATCACCGATGTAATAAATGGATCTTAATTATAAATTTAATACTAAACAGAAAACGATAAACTTGCGGAAAAGATGGTATACCGCAAACATGAGGTGCAAAAATGTATACACCATATCCGGATTTCGACAATTAATGTCTCTTCAGTGATATTAGGAATCGAAACGGTATTTGGAATATAATAACACAAAACATCACAACTTACTTAAATCAAATATTAAAAGTGGTAGTTGTACATAGATTTTTTTTTATTTTCTGTTTCTGTTACATTGTTTCTGTACCTCCTAATCTTAAGAAATTAAAAAACGAGAAAAGGAAAGGAAAAACGATTTTAAAGTGTAAATTTTTTTGTATTATACAAACAATATCCTCCGAAAAAAGTGGCTGCAGGCATTATTTGTATTCAAAACGGATTGTCATTTTATAAGAATATCAAGACGTGAAAATGTCAAATACCGCTGTTAAAGGAGGTGCTATTATATTTAACTAAGACTTTGAGATTTTTGGAACGTTTGAGTCTTATACAGTTTTTTGGATTTTAGACGTATAATAAAAATTGGCTGCTGGAAAAAAGTGGCTGCTATCTTGATTGGCTGCTAAAAGTGGCTGCCAGCTTGAGTCTGTTGAAGATACAAAATAGTTCTTCCCATTAATTTATTATAGTTTAAATTATCTAATTGGTGAAACCAACGTATCTATTAAATGTTAACTATACTTATAGTCAACGCAGCAACAACAGTTTTCTTATTATTCATTATAGTCAATGTCTAATCGTTATTCGGTGGATGATGAAAACATGAAGACTTAGAACCCATTTTATATAGATTTTATTATACTTGATACATGTGTTCACCCTCGTTGGTTGTCAATGAATTGCTCTAGCTGTCCATTCTCTGCTAGATTCCGTATGGCAGCAGTTTGACCGGGAGTAATAGCATTACTTAGAAACCGGTTCAGTACTCCTAGATTAGAAATTAATTTATCCATGTTTCCAGTTTCACTTATTGTAACGATCATTTGTACTCGGTCCTGAGTTTGAACATAATTTAATATTAAAGTAAATGCTGGAACATTTTCCAAAAGTTCTTGAAGTTGATCGTTTCCTCCTAAATCCAGAATGAGTTGCTTTTGACTTGAAGATAAAACGGTATTCGTAATTATTGCAAAGGCCTGTGGATAATCTATAAATTCTTCCATAAGATCTCTTCTTGCTAATGTTTCAATCCATCCAGCAATAACGCCATTTAGACTGGCTCTTAGTACTTGTTGCATGATCAATCGATTTTCAGAAACTTCCTTAAACCAACCCGTTGCTCTCAGTGTGTTCAATGTTCTAGTTTGACTATCCGTGTTCACTGCTGTTGTCAGACTATTTACTCCTGCCGTTGCCTGAACATTTACTCGTGCCGTTGCCTGAGCGTTTACGGTTGGGATCCTTCTTCGAACAATGTCAGACACATACAATCTGCCAATATTTCTTTTAAACATTCTTACATTTTTCAGAAGATTCTGAAGAACACCAAATACGTTTTGACTCTTTTGAGATCGATGATTATATAACCCACGACGTTGTGACAATACACTTTGCAGCATACCCAAAGTTCTCGTGACCGATTTTTTACCTCTGCCATTTATTTGTGGACCGGGTCTTCTGTTAATAGCTCGGAGAATTATCTGAAATGGCGAAGAATCACTCTTACCGGTGCGAGACAAAGCAGTTTGTCTCCTGGCATGATGATATCGATTGCTATAGTATGGAATTGTTCCTGAAAAAATACATTAATAATGAAGACTAGTATGTAACTAATTCTATATTTTCCAATTTCAACCTGTCCTTGTTTTAACTTCAAGGTTCAAGGCAACAGATGAACATGTAGTCCTCTTAAATTTCCTCCTTTTTGGATGCATTTTTATATTATAGGTATTAGATTGGCTTTATCATCACGTAAATTGGTGATCCTAAAAACTAAGTACTGACTAACAGTCAATTCACTAAACCCAAATCTGGTGCATATGACATGTGGAAGGTTTTAACTTCAAACATGTTTTTTTTCAAAATATGATTTATCATTACTATGACAATGAAATGCTTGAAGTGTGAAGATCAAATATAAAAGTAAGAAGATGTGGTATGGTCGTCAAATGATAAAAATCTCCACCAGAGACCGAATGGCATAGAAGTTAATAACTATAGGTCACCTTACGGCTTTCAACGGAGCAGAACCGATACCGCATAGTCAGCTATAAAAGGCCCCAAAATGACAAATCGTCGTGTGAGTGTTATACTGTTGTAAGTCCCATTTTTCTAAGTGTTGGAAAATTGAACATGAAGTTTAAAAACGCGATATCATAAATATTTGACAGAGATATAGAAAGTTATGTAGGAATTGAATTTATGGACATGAAGAGTAACTATTTGTTCAATTGTCCTTTGAATAGACAAGCACCATAAATAAATAAATCACCTCCTTTTCCGGAGATAGAACACTTTACTACAAATAATGTTGTTTTATAAATTAAGCCCTATATTTCTATCGGAGATAGATCATGGATTTTTCAATAGTGTTATATCACCAATTAGGGAATGCCTATTTTGATAAGAATTACTCAAATTTGAGCTCAAACCATGCAAACAATTTAAGCATAGTACTACTAAGATAAATTTAAGGTGGTACCAAACACCTTGCCTTAAATTAATTTAACTCGTTTAATTTTCATAAAATTTTTACAAAATATTTACTTTGACCCTTTGACAAAAATATAAAATTTCAAAAAATTTGAACCACACACTTTATCGGAAAAATTTCATTGGATATATAGCAGTTTGACAAACACTAATTTTGATCATTAAGAAGCTTGATATTGCCTTTACAATAGAACGTTATTAAAACGTTCAGCTGATTTTTACAGAGTTACCTCCCTGTAGTGTTATGTACCACCTTAATAACAAATATTTTACAGCATAAATACTTGAAGAAAAAAAATGGAGATTCAACACTATAAATCTATTTTTCTCTAAACTTCCGGTGTCCAACTAGATGAATAAGCTATTATAATTCAATGAGAGCGAGGAGATAGAACAGTATAGTTCTGACAAAAACTGGTAGAATGTAGAAATCTCGAATTGTAGATATATAGGGAGATAGACCATTGCACCTGGATATCAACATTGGACATATAATTTATCAGACTCACACGACGCAATGTAAAACAATTCAAACGAGAAAACTAACGGCCTGAATAATGTACAAAACAATGAACGAAATACAAATATGATATAAGTCTGTATTGGCCAAAAGCTTTTCATAGACTTACTTACCAAATTATAAGCCTGGTATCTTTGATGAGTTTTTACTACCTCTGTAATAATGAAATCTACAAACTGAATTGGTAGCCTCCTACAAAAGGATGTCTATATTTCCATATGTGTTTCATTTAGGTCATAGAGAGAATATCCGATCTGTACAACTGTTGCCTTCTTAATTTGATATCCTATGTAGTGCACGGATAAAAGAGTATAGAACATTGTGTTGGTTCTACAAAGATAACATACCTTTGTGTTTTTGATATTTCGATCGTTTACCATAGTTGCCTTTCACAGACTGATAGAAACAGACGAATAATAGAAACACGAGGCATAATTGGTAACTCTGTTTAAACATGGTGTTCAGATGTTTGACTTTACCATGATCTGAAGAACAAAACAATGAACAAATCAGATTCATATTTATTATCTTATGTTCGTATTAGTAGTAGTATAAGAAGTAGTAGTAGTAGTATTGATAGTAGTAGTAGTAGTAGAATTAGTATTAACAATAATAATTTCATGTTTATCTTAAGTTTGCCCATTAACTTAACTATTTTCTTTTTCAACTAAGGAAATTTGAAAGTGTTTCCCGAACGATTTATAAATACATATGTATTTATATCTATATAATTCTAATATGATTTGCATATTTACAAATTGTGATTGGTTTGTTAGAATTTGTTCCCTTAGTTTTCAATTCAATATACCATGTTGCAGGAACTACTTCCGTAACCAATATAAACCCTGTTGATTTCACTATGAGATACGAATGGAATCCTTGAGTTCCAAAAAACTTGAAATTTAAAGAAAAAATTACCGTGTTTGGTTTGAAAACTGTAAGGATTTAACATTTTGTCTAGAGGCAATTAATGTGTAAACTAGGCTGCTGACTCATAAACTATACATATTTATTCAATTTGTGAGCCCCCCCTCCCTTGTGGGAAATATTTGGTTCCCCCCCCCCCCCCCTTATGAAAAGTTCTGGATCCGCCACTGTGTTCACTATGGTAACCTTTCTTACATTTGCTATTTCAATAACTACGACCTGACAACTTACGAAATAGGATGGCTGTGAAATAAAATTTCGAAAAATACATGTAAATAAAACTTTTATTTTGGAACAATTTTTCCTCTTGTCTTGAAAGGACACCACCTTTTAAAAAAATTCGTCGTTTCATTTCATTCAATTCTACTACAAATTTCCTACATTTTGCGTTGACAACTTAGGAAGCTACCATTTGATTTTTATGGGGGGGGGGGGGTCTAGGATGAAAAATTTTTGTCCTGCATTTTTTTTTAGTTATAATCTCTGTCCTGCCTTTTTATTTTTCACTCATTTCGGTCCTGCCTTCTTTTTATCAGTTTATCCTGACTTTTTATTACATAAATTGTCATCCTGCCTTTTTTTTTGCAAAGTTGCTCATCATGCCTTTTTTTTTACTCAAAACTCCTGTCCTGCCTTTTTTTCAAATTTCATCCTAGCTCCCCCCCCCCCCATAAAAATCAAATGGTAGCTCCCTTATGTTACTCACTCATAGATGGACAAATGAAATAGAACTGAGAATGGAAACGGGAAATGTGTATAAGAGACAACAACTTAACCAAAGAGTAGAAAAACAGCCTAAGGCCACCAATGGGTCTTAACGCAGCGAGAAAATCCTGCACCCTGAGGCGGTCTTCAGTTGGCCCCCTAAACAATAATGTTACTAGTTCAGCGAAATGGACGCCACACTAAACTCCGAAACATATTAATGAACTTAATAAAAAAAACCACACACAAGACTAACAAATGATGGATGTTCCTGACTTGGGACAGGCTCAAAAATGCGACTGGGTTAAACTTGTTTTGTGAGATTTCAACCATCCCCTATACCTCTAGCCAATGTGGAATAAACAAACACATAGCAATATGCTCAGTAAAACTCAGTTTAAAAGAAGTCCGAGTCCGATGTTAGAATATTTAACAGAAGAAACTAAACAAAATGACTATGATTAAGATAATCAAATAAGGACTACTAGCAGTTATTGGCATGCCAGCTCCAGACCTCAATTAAACTGATTGAAAGATTATGTCTAATCAACATATGACAATGTAGAAAGGGATATAATCCGTACATTTAAAAAAAAAGAAAATGAGACAAAACAATCTTTGTTAATAATATATAAGACCGAGAAAGTCACGTTAAATTATGTAAACTATTTGTTCCGTAATATCAATAATAGAGTAGATAAATAATACTTACAATACAGGAAACGTTCGTGTATCCGTCTTCTACAAAAACATCAGTCTGGGGTTACATTTGTTTGGCCTTTATATTTAACAGGATAATTTCTTGCTAATTGATAATCATACCACATCTCTATAGTTTTAAATGATATGATCAATAACATTTTCGAATGCCAACAACAGAAGATTTGACAATTAATTTTGTTTCTATATATATAATTAGCATTTTTTATAAATTTATTTATGAATTATGCTAGTCATGAGTCAGATTTCTCTGCTTAATATTATTTTCATCCACAAAAAAGCAAAACAAAGTAATTAAAATCATTCGTTTAATTGAATGAGATGCATTCATTATTCTGAACTAGGTAATTAATTCAGTTAACATGAAAAACGACATTTCATTTTCAAATTAAGGCGCAGGTGACTGTCAGATACATATTTATTTTCGTCAGAGGACATGCACAGATCAAATTTTCAGCTCACCTGGCATAAAAGGGTCAGTGCGAACTTTTGTCATCACTTGACGTTCGCCCATTCGTTAACTTGATATTCTAAAATCATCTACTGAAACTACTTGTCCGAATTGAACAAAAATTATACGCAATCATCCTTAAAGAATTTTGTTTTCACCATATGTCCGATGCTACCGCCATACATGGCAACGTGGTCGTCATTGCTAAAATAAGAACACAGGGTAGAAATGCAATTAATCGTCTAATATCTTGAAAACCATTTATCGAGAGAAAATCAGACAAGGCAAACATTTTAAGAATGTTAACATCTACCTACTGTCCGTTTTGACCTAAAACTGTCAGATGACCTCTTGTAAGTGGTATCGATCTTAAAGGACGATTTTGCCTTAAAAAAAAAACTATTAACGATAAAATGAAAGTTTAACAGCAAAAATTATCAGCAAGACAAGATTAGCAAACACATTTGATTTTTTAGAAATCATCAGTCAGCTCCTTATATAAGTATTGTCCTTTTACGACGATTAGTTCCATTTTTTTCCGTTTTTTTTGTTGTTGCTATTATTTTGAACATTACAATAGATAAAAGGAATCACCGAAAAAAATATCACTCATTAAAACAGACCCCATCAACCACCAACACCCAACTTCTTTGAAAAAACATACAAACAACAATGGACAACACATCGTCCAGATAGCCTAACTGATAGGCTTATCATGTGGTGAGGTTAAACTAGTTTTACAGGCGCACACCCTCTTCCCCAACTATATATGCATTAGTTTTTTCTTTTTAGTAAACCAGTTTAAAAATGTACATGAATTATACCATTTCTAAATCACACAATTTAAAAAATATAGATCGCTCCCTTCTCTTCTTGATAAAAATTTATTAAAAAAAAAACTAGTGGCCTGTTGAAGGCCGCACTTTGACCTATAATTGTTTACGTTTTACACATTGTGACTTGGATGGATAGTTGTCTCATTGGCACTCATACCACATCTTATCTATATCAGCTGCAAAGGGAAGGTACCAGCAGGAACACTAATTTCGTTGATTGATTCAACCCGCAAAAATTAGTCTTAAACACGTTTTCAGTAAACAATTTATGTTTAATTTATATGTTTTATATACGAAATGAGACCAAACAGGACTTAGAAAATCGACATTATACTTTTTCACGTGTTTTAACTGTCTATTTTTAATTGTTTACCTGTCTGGTCACAAGTCCATCGACAGTTTTCGTTGGTCATGTCGGATGTTAATTAGATGGCGTCAATTCAGGAAAAAACTCCAACTATTGTTACTATATAACAATTATATACGTAATGTACGAAAGGGTAATAACTCCCATAAGGAATTTACTACTATACTACTATTTAATCCATGTTTGACTTATTTGTTCATTTTTTACTACTCATTCTTTTTTTTGCCATCTAAACGGGCATTAGTTGCATATGCTGCCAGATTCGTGCCCATCGAAATGATTCAGACTCTCAAATTTGATTTAATGTATACTGAATTCAATACAGAATATCCAAAAATCCAGGTGAGCGATACAGTCTTCTTGGAGCCTTTTCTGGTAGTTATATGAACTTAATTGCAGTTTCGCTATTAATTCATGACCGAATTATCTATCAGTAAACATGTCAATACATGTACAGTATATGTTATCTGCGAATGTTTAAAATTAACATTCTTATTCATTACTTAGTTACCGCGCAACTACTAATAAAGTCAGCATTCAAAAGAAAGTTAAGAATCCACAAGCAAACATGGAAAGTTGCCAAGTATTATTGTCATATTAAATATGATAGTTGGATTTATTGCAAGCCCTGGAAGTATTAAAATACATATATAAATGTTATCGTATTGAGATTCATAATTTAATCAGTGACATTCTGAGGAATCACCATATATTCGATTGTGAATGGAATAAGTGTTTATATGTTTAGAATTCGTGCAGGTAATTTAGATGTTAATTATCATTTAAAAAGTGGCTGTACAGAAGTGTATTATAACGGAAAAAAAGCATACACAGTAAACACAAAGTAAACTGATTGCTTATAGAGCTTTGATAATAATATGTTATTTTAGTTATTCTACAAGTGTAGAGACAGATAAGTGTGGATAGTATTTTTTGAGTAGTATTAGTAACTATGTTTGAACTTGGAAGTATTAAATGTATATGCGTCCATCGTTTGACTAACTTTTCTCCATTAGTTTATGTACAGGTGACCCTGTCAGATTTTATTGAACATTTTTAAGTCTTTCTCATAGGGTTCTGCGTTAAACTGTGTCCAATAGGCTTAAGTGAGATCCAACTTGTATTTCAGATTCGTAGCAAAAGTTCAAAATAAGCATATTTTCGTTCATTCAATATTTGATTATAATGTTCAGGACTGTTTTGGAGAATGAAAACTATTTGTATTGATTTTAAACATGATTCTATTAAAAACTACTTTACACAGTTGTGGTCGTTATTATTTCTAAATAATAAAAAAAACCTAATAGTTAAAGGAATATCCTGGGTGCATGTGTGCATAATTTGGTTTTGATGTATGAGATGGTTTCTCAGAAGCTGTATATATATGTATAACTCATATGTTTTAAGTGTATTTCACCCTGGTGGTCGTTTATTAATCAGTTAGACAACATAAACTGCAAATTGATATAGGATAACTAAGTATCATAAGTGCACGATTTCATATAAATGTGTAAGATTTTCTGAGATGAATCTATGTGTTATCTTGAATTTGGCCATTGGCAGCAAAAAACTCAAAACTAGTATTAGACTATCAATGGATCATTCCTTCAATAATTTAGATCAATATGATAATCAAAATATCTTTGCAATTTCAGGCAATCAATATACATTTCAGTCCTTGCAGTCATTTTTAAATTCAGATTCACAAATCGTACTTCTACATCATTTGGTCTCTGATGGAGAAGAGTTGTCTCATTGGCAATCATACCACATCTTCTAATTTTTATTTTGTAATGGAGAGTACATGTACCCTCAAGTATGAAGATTCCTGTTTGGTTCCAGTTGGCAAGAAAGATTTTGCAGTTGATTAAAATGTGCAAAGTTTAGACAGTATCTCACACAACCCTTTTGTCTAGGTGAGCTAATAGATGCAGAACGTATGTTTTGTTTATGTAATTTTTATTCTTTCTTTTGAAATGTTTTCTGCCTAGACTCCCAATGATTGAAAGTTCTTTTTTCAATAATAAACTTTATTCTAATAAAATGGTCTTTTTTCTTCATGATTATTAATTTTATAGAAGTTACTTATGATTGATTGTGTAGACTTTTAGAATTATTTAACATGATTTATAGAATTTTACTGAATATGAAATGAAAGAAGTATTTCAGAATTCTTGCTTCCATAGTTGTTACCTGGAGAAAGATATATCATATATATAATGAAATGTTTGAACAAACATGACGATGAAATCAGGAGCATGCAGTTTTTAAAACGTGTTTTTAAATGGTGGTATACAAATAGATTAGTGCTGTAATAACCATTGACATGATTAACTCGAATTTAGATCTAACAAACAATGACATAAGTTGAAGAAAACAACATTTGAGCAATGTAAGATAATGTTGGAATTTTTCTAGGCCTTTTGAGTTTCATTCTTTTTTGGGGACTCTTCAGAAGGCAGTACATGCAGATTGTTAAAATGTGTGAATTAAAAAAACACGTATTGGTGATAGTCGTTTTTTCTTGTAATATGCTAACTATTATTTGGCTCCCTGGAAGATAAATTCCAGAACCTTTAGTTGGCAAGCTCACATACCCCAGGCCTCTTATATAAAGGACAAACGCTGAAACTGTCATGATGGCATAGTTGTTCTGTTTACTTTAAGATATGAATTTTTGGTTATTGTTTTAGGCAGTAATTAAATGCTACACAAATATATTTCAGTAACTATGACGTTACAATTTACCTAGTGACTTAAAATACAATAGGGATCTTCCTCTTCTTATATGTGAACATATGTCCAAGTAAGGTTGAAAAAGAATTAAGGTTGTTTTTTATTCAGGAAACCTCTTTTCTGCAAATATTTCTGTCTATTTAATGAGGGTCGTCATGGGGGTACCTTTATGACGAATAACGGTAAAAGTTCTTGCCAAATGACGTTAACGGTAATTTTTGGCGCATGACGATAAAATGTAGAATCTACACTTTCTTTTAGACGATAAAAAAACCGACTGATTTTGACGAATCACGTTAATTTTTTCTCAAAAATAACAGTAACGATAATTATTTGAGACCTCTGACGAATCACGATAAGGATATTTTGACGAATCACGGTAAAATTTTAACCAATTTGACGCTAACGGTAGCCAAAAATGACCGTTTGACGACTGACGGGAAAGGGCATTCCTATCCTCTTTAATTAGAAGCTTTGACCTAGTCCTTTTATGAGGTGACCTCAAAACCTAAAGAGATCTTCCTGTCATTTCACTGCAGCTGTGCTATTTGCGCAGTCACATTGCATTGACCATTTAATCATTTGTGATATACAGTCACTGATCGTATATCGCCTTGTTTATGACGTTGACAATGCGTTTCCGAAGAGTTTTATTTATGACGTCATTGAAAGTACAGGTTCGCGGAATTTTTACGTCGTTCGCTCAAAATTAAAAAAAATGATGGTTTTACCCTGAATATTTCATTTGAAACAGTTATAGGAGTTGCAATATATAAAGAATAACCATACATTATCTCGAAACATAAATTTTATTTGTACTCGGCTCAAAACAGGATAGAAATGCTCGACAAAGCCTCGCTTTCTACCTGTTTCTAAGCCTATTTTAAGTAAGAATGACCTTGGATGACATGACTTCAAGCTCTTAGAAGTCTAAATTGAAAACAACGTTCAAACTTATGATTGCGTTGGATAAAAACCGCAATTTTTGTACGTGTGCATGCAAAACAAATTTCTTGTTAGAGGGGTCTAAATACAGCACAAACAACATTTTCCAAAAGACCAAAAAAGTGAAAAAGTATATTTTAACATAACGCATTTGACTAACAGGTCGAACATTACATGTTCTTAAACCCTGCTGACTGCCATTGGCGATTGCCAAATAAACGGATCACCGATGTAATAAATGGATCTTAATTATAAATTTAATAGTAATCAGAAAACAATAAACTTGCGGAAAAGATGGTATACCGCAAACAATAGGTGCAAAGGTTTTTGTACACCATATCCGGATTTCGACAATTAATGTCTCTTCAGTGATGTTAGGAATCGAAACGGTGTTTGGAAAGCCATACAATTTACCTCAATTTAGGATAGACTCTTGAATATTGAGGAGTCAAAATAGGATGAACGGATCATATAAACCCGTAGGCAAATATAATACAAGCCCAAACGAAAAAATATAATCAAGTCTAAATTGAAAACAACGTTCAAACTTATGATTGCGTTGGATAAAAACCGCAATTTTTGTACGTGTGCATGCAAAACAAATTTCTTGTTAGAGGGGTCTAAATACAGCACAAACAACAATATCCAAAAGACCAAAAAAGTGAAAAAAGTTTATAACAAAACGCATTTGACTAACAGGTCGAACAACAAATGGTGTTAAACCCTGCTGACTTCCATTGGCGATTGCCAAATAAACGGATCACCGCGATGTAATAAATGGATCTTAATTATAAATTTAATACTAAACAGAAAACACTAAACTTGCGGAAAAGATGGTATACCGCAAACAAAAGGTGCAAAGGTTTTTGTTCAACATATCCGGATTTCGACATGTGACTATATCTAAATGCTTTAAGGCGCAAGTTCTATATTAGGAAAGCCGCCTCCCAAATCATCAATAATAATAATAATAATAATAATGATAAATGCTTTAATATCACTTTAAATTTTACAGCTGCTGTTTTATGCTACAAATACCTTGTGCTGACAGCTACTAACAATAACTAAGGAGAAAATGCAAAATGTTTCAACCATCTTACCTCTCAGTCCATATGTAGATACATGTATCAGTTTTCTGTTTTTATAATTTTAATTTATACAGAATATCTATGCAGCTATGCATAACAATGGACTGAGCTCAATGCAAAGAAATTTAATACTTTACACTTAGACAGAGCGTTCAATCTATCGTTATACCTTATCAAACTGGTCATAATTTTAATTCCAAAAAAACTGTTTATTACAAAACTTCATGAGGGTCCTGAAAAAAGACGATTCAATTAATTTTATTAGATGTAAAACCCATAGGTAATTGTGGTAAGAATATTCAGTACAATGCAAGTAGTAGTTACTACATGTATAATTAAATATATGCCTAGCGCTTACTGTACTGCTCCTTTTGACACACGAACTGACTTTCAATAGAAAACAGGTAAACAAATGCTTATCCCATAAAAGGTTTTCAAGGTCTTTATATAATAATACAGTTGGGAGCTTATGACCTATCATGCCCGTCTTTATATACATTTTTGAAATTTAAAAAAGTTTCAAACTGCTTTTGTATATCATCCAAATGCATAACTTTGTTTTATGGATGTATGCAAGTTATTTACGCCCCATGAGTACGACTATCAATATTTATTCATATGATATAGATGAAGCCAGTGAGGCTGAGTGGTCTAGATCTAATTAGCACAAGTCTGAATCTTTATCGAATTTTATCCTACAATCAGCAGATAATGGTACAAATAAGGCCAACATGCACAATACTCATGTTAAGGGTTTCCCTGTCTATCCTATTTGGAATACCTCAACTTTTAGTGAAGGTTTGTTACTTATTTGATGAATAAATTGCAGGTCTATGCAAATATAACAAATTGAGTAAAATAAAAAAAAATCTATGCCTACCTACATGTACATATGTTTGTTCCCTGTTTTTTAATTTACGCACTAAGATGCAACAGAGACGTAGGTCGACATGGGAGCTTCTGATGGATATTTTCCAGATCACTGAAATACAGTAAGATATAGTACTGTCCAAGAGCCTTACAGTAGCATGCATGTTATATTTTGTTGAAGTCCGCATCAAGTATTTGAGTTTCGTAGTACTTTATCAAAAATATGATATGTTACTCGAAAACAGCACACACATTTCGTTATTCTCTCACCTCTTATCATTTCTACTTTACCCCTACGGATATTTGATAAATGAAGGCGTCCAAAGCAGGGTGTTCAAGGCTACTAGTCCAACTAATTAGAGTAATTAGAGGATGACCATTTGATAGGGGGCAGAGATATTTTGAGGATTGACTATTCAGTTTTATCTGTTGCTACGCATGTCCCCCCCCCCCCCCCCCCCGCGGATTAGATTTTCATATTCAAAATTCTCTTGCAAAATTTTTCAAAAAAATTTATATCCAAAAGAAACGATAAAATGTCCAGCTGAGATAACCGATGACCCAATTTTAAGTTATCAGACTATAAAATAAATCTTCTAACCGAACTCCATATCATTTCACGGGGCTGAATTTCCGAATAAGATAAATCGAACGTTCCGGAAATACGAGTTTGTCACATTTTGTGGATTTTGGTTTGTAGATTTATTTTATACATGTACTCTTTTTTTCTCAGGTGTCCCACCCATAGCAAACTAGTTTTTTTCTCAGGTGTCCTACCTACAGCAAACTCGTTTTTGTCTCTCAGGTGTCTAACATATAGCAAATACAAAAAAATAAGTTCAGCAATAAAGGCCTAATTTATATGTAAGATTATAGGGAAAAAGTAGTATTACATTTTCCGGCATTTGGTTGGCCTTTCGTGTACCCAAGGCAAGTGAAGGAAGTCAACTTAGGAGCGCTGTGATTGGATGTTAGGGTATAATATATTTTTTCACATTCATTTATGAATAACTGCAGGGTGTATATTTGTTCCGGACCATATGAGTATTTGGACCATACGCGTATGGTCATGACCATATCCGTATACTCATATAAATGGTCGGATCATATGAGTATATACTCGTTTGGTTATTAACGGGCCGGACTATATGAGTATTTAGACCATATAGGTAGTTTTCGAATAAATTCATACTTCCTTCGCAGGTTCTCTTAACTAGAATTGGCACAAGCTACTTACTGAAATCCTTTATATTTGATATCTTGTCTGAATATTGGTGAATCTGTTTTCTTGCCTTCCCATGAATTAGTTTAATGCGCTTTGATCCTGTCGACTTTTTCGTGAAACCACCGGCGTTTGGGGAATGGTGTTCAGATTATTTTATTTTTGTAATTCTTCTAATTTTTATTTATTTTCACTTAATTGATGTGTTCTTGTTTCTATTCATTATATCTTACAATAACGACAGTTTATACAAGTTGCCCCTCTTTTCTTATTATCTTCATAAGAATAGAGGGACAGCCCTTATAAACAACTGTGACTGTAAAATCGTATGAATAGGAGCATGAACACATTAAATAACAGAAACAAATGAAATATTTAAGAATATTTATTCATTAAAAACAAATTAAAACAATAAAATAAGGTTTAAACAAAAAAATAGGGTGCAATGCCCCAAGTGCCCGAACAGTTGACTTCTTTTCAACGGTTCATTTAGATTTCTTAACGAAAAATCGCTAATGACCATGTAAAATGCTATATATAACTATAATTTTATTTTTTGAGTAAAATTCACTCTATTTCATTAGTCATTAAACAAAGATTACAATTTGATTAAATAAGTCGCAATTTCATTTAAGAAACTGTTAATTTATGACACCTTGAAAAAAATTGAAAACAACAATTTAATAATTTTATGTGTCCGAATCGCTTTTCTGGATTTACCTTCATCAGGAACACTCAAAGCCAAACATTTGAAATCCGAGGGATGTATAAGTACCGAAACAGTTGAAGAGCTATATGACAAAAGGGTCGTACCTAATACAACATTCATCTTATTAGAAACCCGGACCATACTCGTATGGGCGGACCATGTGAGTATATACGCATATGGTCATGACATATGAAGGGCCGTTCGGGTCACAATTTATTTTGTTACACGTACGCTAGAGGTACGCGTAACAGGTCGTTCATGTACCCTAGAGGTACACGTAACACTTTGTTCACGTACTCTAGAGGTACACGTAACACTTTGTTCACGTACCCTAGAGGTACGCGTAACACTTTGTTCACGTACCCTAGAGGTGCACTAACAGTTTGTTCGCGTACCCTAGAGGTACGCGTAACTGTTTGTTCGTGCAGCTAACCGCTACAGAAAACCTATCATTCCTTTCCCTGAATAATGGATCATCTGTGTCAACATCCTTTCATTATCCCCCAATCTCAAACTACTTGCAACAGAAGAATAAATGTTTTGTGTCAGGAAAACTATAATGTATTCACCAGGGAAAAATTTCCATGAAGTGCATGCAGATATCTAAAATTATAACGGAAAGAAATTAATCATATCCTCTAAGGATGTGTATTGGATAAGGGAGATAACTATGTAAAAACTTCTTGAAATGTTGGCAACAACCGTCAACAAAACGAAGAACACTGTTTTCCATGTACACAATCTGTTGCCAAAATTAATGTTTTATATAAAAATAGGTTTAAGTCAATTATTTTAATCGAGTTTTAAAACTTTAAATCAAGTATTTAAAATTTAGTAAAAAAGGCCTAATTTAATTGGTCAATTAGTATTCTCCAGCAGACGAGTTCATTGTGCATAGGGTATAAGGGGACGACCATTTGATATTCTGGGGGGGGGGGGGGGGGGGTGGGTGGGGGGGGGGGGGGGGGGGGCAGGAGGAATTTGAAAATAAATAACTAAGCCTTGATAATCACAAAAATAAATGGTTTGTTCTGTGGTAGTTCGAAAATAAATAACCTGACTTACAATGTATTGAAAATGAATAACTCGGCAGGTCTTTAAGCCATTTTATAAATGCTATTCGAAAGTATGAGGTGGCACCAGATTCTTCATAAAATCTTTTTTCAAAAAAAAATTCGTGAAACACTTCCCAAATCTTTTAATAAAAAAGGTATAAATATTATTTAAATATACTTGAAATGTCTGAAAATGGGTTTCATTTAACTTGAGGTATATTGGCTCAGGAACACTTACCTCCCTTTTATTACAGGGCTGTAACTACATTGAGGCAAATGCCTTTATGTAGGAAATTTTAAAACCAAAAGCTTGTCTTCATATCAAATTGTTTTCACAGCAAGTGTTTGCAAGAAGCAAGTTCTATTCTCCCTTGGACGTAGCACCTGTTTTTTCGGGATAAATGTTTCTTTAAATTTGTCTTTTGTTCATTGATTGCCCTTCTGTATTCTCTTAGTGTTGCATTCCTTTTGTGATTTAGTAATTTTGTTTTCAACTTGATCATGAGTTTTATTTTATTTAAGACTTTTTAGCTAATTTTACAACTTAACTACTTTAAATTGTATCCCAGTTAAGAGCTACATCAAGTTGTAATTGAAATGTGTTATTAAAGATTACTTGACATAGTTATATCACTGATAATCAGCCCCCTCTTAACTTAATTTGAATAAAACACCATATAATTTACAGGTATAAAAGATTTAAATTCTGCATGCCGAAACAACAAAAAAAAAAAAAAAAAAAAAAAAAAAAAACAGCAGCCACATACTTAACTATGTGAATTACATTTTTACTTTATTCTTCATATTGGTCTTTTGATGTTGTCCATAAAAACTTAAGTCTTACGCTGAATCTATACATTTTGCTTTGAGACCAAAATATTGTCAAAAAATTATTAAAACAGAACTTGCGTTTTCAGAATAAGAAAGGGTCTGGGAACGCCCAGAAAGCACGATTTTGCATCATTTGTTCTATAGTTTCTTTGGGCCTTCAGCGGCTTCAAAACCCTTCAAAATTTGTTTGCCTCGCTCCGCTCGGCGTAAATATATTTGGCAATACTTTTAAAAGAGGCTAGTCACAGCCCAACTCTAATACCGTGTATGTATGCAATACATGTATATGCAGTTTGGAATTCAGAAGATTCATTTCCGCAGAGGATGATGATTACTTCTGATT